GGGTATAGAACCATAAATGGCTACCTGTGAAACTGTAATTTTCAGAAAATGGGATTTGAAAATTAGACTAACAAAAAATTTGCTATTTTATATAATTGTTTGGAATTTTAGATGTGTGTTTATGGTCCCAAATAATTTGATTTTTGCATCTGACAGTAATATTTTTAGGAAAATCAGTGAAATAAAAAATTTGGCGACATTTTGCGACTTTGGATATCAAAGCACTTTTTGTGTAAGTACAGTACCTGCAATGAAGTTTCTAAAAAAAAGCAATTACAAGTCTGGTGCAGCGATCATGTTTTAACTTGCATTGTCATGTTTAAAACTATCTTATTGTTAATGTTGCCTTCTTTGATAACTTTTTGATAAATAAATATGTTGGTTTTCTTTATTTTTTGAGTATTCAGTGTATTGTATTGAACAAAATGATTATGTGGCCTGCGCTCATTGTTCTCTCGGTTATCTGGTCCGCTGTGAAAAAGTTTGGTGACCCTTGTATAGACGCTTCTGCCATTTGAGTCCCAGATATAGAACCATACCAAAAATTCTATAGCCTTGAAAAAGGTTTCCTTGCTGTCTTTTCTGAGTGATAGAGACCTTAATATTTGTTTGGTTTCTGAAATGAGACAAGGCAAATTCTAAATAAAAAAAATGCCAATGCGGAATGATATAAAGTAGCACTATTTGGTCAACAATCTGATTTTGAATAATATAATAATAAAATTAATAACTTTAATAAATAATATAAGTATATTACTATTAATAATAATAATTATAACAACATAACAATAAAACATAACAATAAATAATAAATATTACAGTGTGTTATAAAGTACTGCCATCTGTTGAGAAAGAAAGACAAATGAAACCACAAGCAAACAGACTTTAGTTATTAGATTAATAACAACAATATAATTTAATTTATTTTTATAAGAGAATGCTGCTATCATTTATTAGAATGCTTATGTTCAAATATGATTAGATATGTATTATTTAGTTGGATTAAGCTTAAAGGTATTGGTATACAATGCTTGAAAACATTTTAGCTTGCATACCTTTAATGATGATGTTGCTCTGAATAAAAGAAAAATGTTTTATTCTGTCTATACAAAGTCTAAATTCAAAATAAACACTTTAAGTTTAGACATTTTATTGGATCAATTTTAATAATTTATTAATAGAATTTCATTTTTTGTTAATACAGTAAAATCCTGAAAACTTGGCACTCGATAACCCGGCAGTCCGGATAACTCGTCCACACCCTGGCAGGGCGAAAAAACCCCTAGTTAATTTTCATTATAGACAGCTTTATGCCTCTTAAAGTATTTTTCTGAGGTCTGTCTTATCAGGTAAATTACTGTACACTGTGTATTCATTAACTTTCATTTTCATGTAGTAAAGGCTCTATGCCTTCATAAAGTACGTACTTTTCCTTTGTTTAAGGGTATTCGGGCAGTTTATTCTGTTGTATTTTCAAGCAAACAATACATACAAGTATGGTACAGTATTTTCTAAGGAAACACTAGTACTTATTCTTTTTTAACCCCATTCCCGATAACCCGGCATTTTCACAAACTCGGCCACCCTTTGGTCCACATTAGGCCGAGTTTTCGGGACTCTACTGTATAACTCTGATATTATCATCTATCAAAACTATTTAAAAGTAAAATTTTGTAAAAAAAAAGTAATTATGTTTAATCATTTTTCATTTTAAGTAATAATTTAGTAATGAAATCTTCACTAATATATTTTTTTATTTCTAGAAATTAGAATATATATCATAGAAATTATTTCTGGTTCTTGATAAAACCTAAAACAATTGATCAACAGCTGTTTATACCTTTTTATATATGATTGATGTTTTTTATATTCTGTTGCTATTGCCTTTATGTAGCTAGTAATGTTTTATTTAAATTCAGTTATTAATTACAAATAATTTAACTGAAATATAGATTATATAAAATTAATATAAATAAACATAAACAAAGTTAAAATGAATTATTGTTACTGTTATTTGGCCAGTTTATATAAAAAGTTTAAAAATCAAACAAGTATATTTCATAAATTAAAAATAAATTTATTTTAAAGAAAAAAAGAGAGAGAGAGAGAGAAATATTTTACATGGGAGAGTTTGTAAATTATAACATAAAAAGCGTCATTTCATTCTAGCAAATATTTGTTAGATGAGTGTTTTTAGAGAATTAGCCATCATGAGACTGAGCATTTTAAAATATACATAGTGACATAAATATTAAACAAAGAGAATAATTGAATGTTAAAAACAAATCAAAATATTAACATATAATGTTGCACGTACAAAAGTGTATAAACATGTCAAAGCCCATAGTTANTTCATAAAGGACGTACTTTTCCTTTGTTTAAGGGTATTCGGGCAGTTTATTCTGTTGTATTTTTAAGCAAACAATACATACAAGTATGGTACAGTATTTTCTAAGGAAACACTAGTACTTATTCTTTTTTAACCCCATTCCCGATAACCCGGCATTTTCACAAACTCGGCCACCCTTTGGTCCACATTAGGCCGAGTTTTCGGGACTCTACTGTATAACTCTGATATTATCATCTATCAAAACTATTTAAAAGTAAAATTTTGTAAAAAAAAAGTAATTATGTTTAATCATTTTTCATTTTAAGTAATAATTTAGTAATGAAATCTTCACTAATATATTTTTTTATTTCTAGAAATTAGAATATATATCATAGAAATTATTTCTGGTTCTTGATAAAACCTAAAACAATTGATCAACAGCTGTTTATACCTTTTTATATATGATTGATGTTTTTTATATTCTGTTGCTATTGCCTTTATGTAGCTAGTAATGTTTTATTTAAATTCAGTTATTAATTACAAATAATTTAACTGAAATATAGATTATATAAAATTAATATAAATAAACATAAACAAAGTTAAAATGAATTATTGTTACTGTTATTTGGCCAGTTTATATAAAAAGTTTAAAAATCAAACAAGTATATTTCATAAATTAAAAATAAATTTATTTTAAAGAAAAAAAGAGAGAGAGAGAGAGAAATATTTTACATGGGAGAGTTTGTAAATTATAACATAAAAAGCGTCATTTCATTCTAGCAAATATTTGTTAGATGAGTGTTTTTAGAGAATTAGCCATCATGAGACTGAGCATTTTAAAATATACATAGTGACATAAATATTAAACAAAGAGAATAATTGAATGTTAAAAACAAATCAAAATATTAACATATAATGTTGCACGTACAAAAGTGTATAAACATGTCAAAGCCCATAGTTACATTAAAGTCAAACAATTGATTAAATCAGGCTACATTACAACTAATAATAATTAAATATGGAGTAATTTGGCCTAGAGGTAGGACTTAGGTGCCATCTCTTATTAAATTTACTGTAATAATTATAAATAAATTTAATAAGAGATGACACATACCTCTAGGCTAAATTACTCCATATTTAATTATTAATAGTAGTGTTAATGTAGCCTGATTTAATTTGGCAATTATTTGGCTTTAATGTTGCACGTTCATGTGACCAATTTATACATAAATTTATTAAAATAGTAATAATAATTGTTGTTTAGATCTGAAGTGATATTTTTGCATTTATGTGGGTGCCTACATACTTCCATTTGTATGTCATGTACAGTACAGTACAAATTCCAAAAATTTTACAAGCTAATAATTGGAAACTTATATTATCCAATCAAAATAAAATCAGTCCTGCTAGGCAGCAATAGCAGACAAAACTTGATTACTGTTTGACGTAAAGTTTATCTTGTATTCTCTAATATAGTGAGTTAACTTTTGTGTGTAATCTATGCAATAAGGCTTCATATCTGAAGCTATCATTATGACCAGAATTTTATAAACTCACAGGAAATTCTTCAAAAAATTTTTTTCGTTTTGAATGAAAGCATAATCCAGGAGGTGTCATCTAAATATGAATTTTTTGTTCTTTTACTAATTTTGTTTGTAATAAAAACAGAAAAAGGAAAAAGATATCTATCTACATATAATCTGTGTGCTTTGGTGAAATGTGACTAAGACTTTGTTTTTTTATTATTTTCCTGCTAGAATAATTGACTTGATAAACATAAGATGATGCTCAATGATTGCTGGAAATAAATCACAGATCAAGGTTACAGATTGCTGACATAATCTTGTTTCTTTTGATATTTGAGCTGTGCATACTAACTTTTTAAATTATGATAATGCAGAAAATGTGGTTTTTATATCCAAAGAGTTTGCATGAATATAAGAAATATAAAAAAAATATAGTAGATAGTTATGTTAAACAGTGCCCTGTTGAAATTTTAAGTTGTTATCAAGAAAATATGCATTGTCATTAATATAAATCAGGTTAACTATTTCAAATTATTAATGTTTATAATGGTTATGATATAGTTTATACAAATATTAAATAAATAAATATTTAAAATATTAGGAAAAAACAGATGTTTTACATAATAGTTGGTTTTTTTTTCCTAATATTTTGCACATACTCCCAACTTGCAGGCTTTTTGTAGGAACTTCTATTGGTTGTTCTAAAATTGAAAATTTTAATTTATTTTCTCTATATTTCTATTCTTTTCACTTATTCTTTCATAAATTTTTTTTAATATCATATCTGTTATTGCATGAAATCAATTTTATGCAAAATTAGATGTATATTATCAACGGTATAAGAAAAATCTATACATGTATTTAATGTTGTAACATGTTTTAAAACATCAGAAATATTTTTATAATTTAGAAATAATATTTTTCTTAATTCAAAATTATTAATGATTATCAAATTTATAATCATAACCTAAATATATTTCAAGACTCTTGAGAAGTTAGTATATATCTATAATATTCACATATCCAAAGATGCTAAAGTATTTTTTAAACAATTTAAATAATTTTATATTATTTATTAACATTATAATACTTAATTGTTGTTTTAAGTGCTAAATAAATTACTTATTTTAAATATTATATTTTAGCCCAGTTGCCCAAAGAAATTGGAAATTTGACGAAATTGGAATCTCTTTCCTTGAATGGAAATCGTCTAACAGCATTGCCTTTGACTCTTTCTCAGCTTAAGAATTTAAGAACAGTGTCAATTTCTAATAATCATTTAACCAAATTTCCGATTGTTTTTTGTGATCTCCCTCATTTAGACATGCTTGATTTATCTCATAATAAAATAACAGAGGTGCCTGATGATCTACAAAACTTATTTGTTGCTGAACTAAATTTGAATCAGAATCAGGTAAACTTTTAAGATTTTAAAGTATTTATGCAAAAGAACTTAATTTTTTAAAAATATTTTTGATAATTATATAGCTATCTGAATTGCCTGAAGCCATTGCACAATGCCCTCGTTTAAAAGTTTTAAGGGTTGAAGAAAATTGTCTCCAATTATCAGCTATTTCTCTAAAAATCTTGACTGATTCTTTAATTTCTCTTTTGGCAGTAGATGGAAATCTTTTTGAATTGAAAGATTTGCATAACATGGAAGGTTATGAAAAGGTAAAAATTGTTAATAAATATTATTTATATATTTTAACTCAATAAAATTCTATACACAAAATTTAAATTTATTATTATTTCCCAATCTTAACTTTATTCTTAAATAAAAGTTTGTTTTTATTTTCTTTAACATTGATTTTTCGTTAATCAAACAATTATTATTGTACATTCAAAAATTGATATTTATTGCATATAAGATGGAACATTTAGGAACACTGGCACAGATTATAAAATTATAAAATGAGATTCATAAATGTGATCTTTGATATATTTTTGATCTTAATTAAATTTTAGAAGGTAATGAAATTATTATTTTTTATTAATTAACAATAAGCTAAAAATCCAATGACAGAATTAAATAATTCTAATATTTAATTCATTATTTCAAACAAATACAACGTCACGAACTTTAATTGCTCTAGGTATTTCAATGGGTATAGTTTTCTATTCTGATTTTTTTATTTGTATATTTGAATATGATTTTTGTCATTTTTGGTTTTTTTATAATCATTTTAATATTTTGGTAACCACTAAAAAGGGGTTTATAGACAAACAAATTTCTTTTGTCCTTCTAATCTGACATTCACTAGAGGTCAAGAACCACTCAGAAAACTTCCAAAATAAGTAATTATTTCTGGCAAATATTGCTGATTTTAGCTTTATGTTAATCATTTTAATAACTGATATATTTTGCTGGCAGTTCTAGTTTATTAATTGAAGTAAAGAGTCGATGATAGTTTAGGTGACATTATATTTAATATAAATTTTATATGCAGACATTATCATTAAATGATAGATTATAAAATTAAGTAAGCTAATTGACTTTCATCCTTATTCATTTGTCCTTATTTTTTTATGGTTCTAAGGAAATAAATTCTATATACTTAGAAATTATATGGATTGGATTATAGATTTTTTTCTTGATTGATTTTCTTGATTTTAATTTTAAAATAGTCATTTATGATTTTTCTATTACTATCATTTAATTTTATTAGTAAATGTAAGTTCATAAATTTAAAATAATGGAAGAATGTATATTAATTACTGTAATTATATTATCATTAATATCAAAAAATAATTTTACAATTAAACAATTATAATTGCTTATGAGTAATGTTATGTGTATTACAATTGATTGAATAAATTAAAATATCATAAGTTATGCAATAATACATTCTGTAATATATTTTCCCCTTTCTACTGTTGAAATGCATCTTTGGAAATATGAAGTAATAATATACAGTTGTCCCTCTATAGTCCGATGTTTTTTAATCCGACATGCTCAGTAGTCCGACGCACCTCCCGTCAAGGTACCCGTCCCCGTTACGTGTCTGCTTGCACAGAAGCATGTTGCGATGTGAATCTCCCCATCCAATTTTTACACGATGACACACATTTCATGTGTTTTATGTGAGCAGTTCTGTTTGAACAGTTGGAGTAGAGAATATTGTAAGTTACTGCTAGCAAAACAATGCAAAATATGTAATTATTTTCGGTAATCCGGACACTTTTGGTAATCTGACACACCTTTGGTCCCATACCTGTCGG